ATGGACAGCCCAAACAGGATTAATTGCGTGAGCGTAACGTAAATGGGTCAACGTTCGGACAACATCCAAAATATCGTACTTAGTATGTGATTAAAAGTTCTAAGAACATGTATTCCCGGTGTAAGTCGCAGACGATATAGTTCTGCAATGAGGGCGACCTCTGGATTGGGATAGTTTGTATGCTATAGGTTCTCCCTTTCACGAATCAAATTATCACAGTCAGCATGTATGAAATAGTTGCTTTTGTAGCTTCGGATAGTACAAATTCAAAATGCAATATTTTGGATGTATGGGTATACAGTGAATCTCTTTTCTTCGTAGAGAGTTTAGGTTGCCGCAAAGTCAAACTGTAAGGCTTATATTATAGTATAACTTATCTTGTGTACTATTGTTTACACCTGCTTCCTAATGGGGTTAATTATATGTACCACAAATATATGGTGTATTTGAAGATTCATAGCAACTGGTTTGTGATGTTGAATTTATCTTCCTACTTCCAGAAGTAGTTGATTTACTTGGTACGCCAAAGTGATAGCATGCCACTCAAAGTTCCACTTGTGATGAGGTCTATATGTGGGTGGTATACATTAACCACGTCGAAGGTGGATATCTTCGTTTGTATCAGCTCTTGGACGGGATGCGAACATCCAACTTGAAAAATTTGTAGCTTGGGTGGCTGACCAATGCATCCAATCACGAATCTATTTGTCCTTCTCGGGTCCCACGCTGGACGAAGGTTCGTATACGTTCCGGTGTTTGTGTTGTGGGGAACACGGATCCACTCATTTTGCGTAAGTACATTCGCATCAGATTTCTTGCACATATCTAAATTCGACAAGTCGTAAACGTCGAAATACCCACTTTGCCCCACCACTGCAAGCCATGATCCGTCCTGTGGAGAAAAGTTCGCGGAAAGCAGACTGTTGCTATGTCGTAATCTAGCAAGTGGCAAAGATTGTTCAGGGGATATCATTCGTTTATCCCATAAACAAACCGATCCATCCATCGAAGTTGTAGCAATCCAGCTAAACATAAACAGATGCCTAGCAATGTCAGTACGATTCAATTAAAGGTAAATAAAAAACTTACAAGTCACACGCCGGATGTTGATCCACCGAGGTCATTGTTTTTGGATGCAGTGCGTAGACTGCACTGGAAACGTTTCGCGCCCGGCGATCTACCAGGCGCAAGGCGCCATCCTCGCAGCTTGCATAGAAGAATTGAGGGTTTCCCGAAGCAACGAGTGACGTGACGCCCGTCTCTTCCGTTAGATCACATATTGGTGAAGAGTGGGCAGTATATAGGTCGAATTCACGTACAGTACCATCGATACTGCTTGAAAGCAATGTCGATGAGTCAGGGAAGATAAGTTGGCTGACCGGATAGCCATGTGGTCTAGATAGAGCTGCCACTGAGCTCCTGATATCCGTAGAAGGTGACCAAAGAGCGATATGTCCCTCCTTGTCTCCAGCAGCAACAACAACTCGATCTACTTGAGGATGGAAAGCCATCGTGGTTGTGCGGTAAGGCAAAGCCCTGACAACGTCCTTGTCTGCCAACGAATATCCAATCTTGTCATCAGGATCCAAAGTCGAGCTTTCTGGCAACACGTTCACACCACCGGCGATTTCCTTGCAGAATTTATTGCCTTCCTCATCATGAGCGTTCATAACGTAGAGTGCACTGCCTAGAGGTTGACGCATCTTCTTCACGAAAAGAACGTCAAGTGGATGACCCAGCTCCATCTGCTGTGTCAAGACAGGCGTGGTACCTCCAATCAGGCGCTGCGATTTGCGCTTTGGAGCACTAGCGAGCTGAGCAGCTCTCTGTGCGCGCTTCAACGCAAGCGCATCTTTCTTGGCCTTCGCTTCCGCGTCATTTCTAATGCCCGCCCTGGCTGCTGACATCCCGACTCGTTCAAGAAATGCCTGGTTTTGAAGGATTTTATGTCTTCGTTTCCGCTCGTATTCACTAATGTCGTTTTTGCCAGGCCCACTGGTATCGTCATCGTAGTCAAGCAGATCACTTGTAGAGCTCCCACGACAGGGGGATCCATGAATTCCAACTTGATTAACCGAATTATGCCGTGACGGATCCGGTAATTCTTTTAATGAATTGTTGCTGCATAGTTGTCTCTTCTTCATTATCTTCGGTTTCTCCGCATTTTTCGTCTTCTCAGGGCAGTCAGCAAAGTGTGCTATCTGACTCATCGCTTCATTGTCTCGTACAACTCCAAACGCACTAGATTCGATACGTTTCGGTTCCTGCTTTCTGCTATCGTGTTCGCCATGAACGTGACTTTGCTGCTCGACTTGACCGTCGTCTTGCTCTCTAAATCTTACATCATCCACTTGATCAAGTGGATAATGTGACGAAAACTCAGGTAGCTGTGGCACCAAGGACGAATTATCGTCGCAAGAGAGCGACTTCACCTCCATCAGTGGCCGAGTCGATTGGCACATGTTCTCTTTTCCAGTCTTATCGCCTCTTGCTACTCGATCAACCTTGCCCGGACGTGAATTTGCTTCAGCACAAGACCGTGAGTTATTTTCTGTTGGCAAAGTCTCTACATCCATGGATGGACGGGCGTTCTCACGTCGCGGCTTCATCTGTAGTCTCGACGATATCCGCTGCTGCATCGACCTGGTGAGCTGTGCGGATCGAGCTGCTCGGTGTTCGGCTACTCGCTGTCTCTTGGCTTCTGTTTCTACTTTATTGCCAACTCGTGTGCGACCAACAAACTTGGCTGAGGAGATGCCCATCGCTTCCATATACGCTTGGTTGCGCAGGATAGTTTCTCTGCGTTTGCGTTCGTATTCCGGAATATCATCCTCTTGGTCTTCATTGTGGTCATCTTCACGGCTTCGGTGGCGCTCACTCCTGTGTTTATCCGGCGTTCGAACGAGTGTACTCTTCGAGTTGTAGCCATCTTGTACTTTGACGTTGTCTTCTACTTTTTGAAGGTCCTGGACTTGATCAGCATGTTCGGTTTGAGTTTGAGTTTCTTTATCATCATTGAGCTCGACATTCGCGTTTCGCTGTAGAATCGTGCGTTTCTTCTGTCTCTCACGCTTTTTCTTCGAAGCGCGACATCGGCGCTTCGTACTCCGTACTTGGGCATCCATCTGAACCTGTGAAATGACTGGCGGTAAAATACCGCGAAAATAAAAACGAAATCGTACTTAGTAAGAAGTAATTCGTACTTAGTACTCCAGTAAGAAGTACGTAAATGCAACTAAACGATTACAGATTAGACGAAGGTTACCACCACCAAAGCTATTCCAGAAACACCACAAAGGTATCCAAAGTGAAATATAGAGAGGAACTGCGATCAAGCCTGCTGAAGCTACGGAGCAGGACCAACGAGTTTCTCGAAGTTTCTCGGACTAGTTAGCCTTAGCAGCACGGCCTCGCGCCAGCTTGTACGATGGCGCGCTTGCCTTCAAAATCGGCTACACAAATGAGAAAGAGGACGTCATTATCACCTCGCTTAGTAAGGGTACTTCCAGTGCTAGCCGTGTGAGTCCCCGAAGTGACTTCACGCTTGCAGTATTCATCTTGTGCTTCAACAAACTGTCCCATGCGCCGATACATTAGTCCGCGGTTCTGCAAATACTTGTCATTCTGTGGATCAAGCGTCAAGGCCTGCGTAAGCGCTACTAGTGCAAGAGCATCTTTGCCAAAAC